GAGTGGTATTAGGAGGCAAAAACTTCACCTTAATGAAGCTCATGTCCCCATAAAGTCGCTCTGCCACGTCTGTAGGATGACCAGGGGCATTGTCTAACACCAGGAGGCACTTAAGGTCTAATTTCTTTTCAGTTAGGTAATCTTTCACATTGGGGGCAAATGCATGGTGTAACCAGTTATAGAAAAATTCCCTAGTGACCCATGCCTTACTGTTGCCCTCCACAGCACACACAAATTATCCTTGAGGACATTCTTTTGCCTGAACGCTCTGGGAGTTTCAGAGTGATACACTAATAAAGGCTTAACTTTGCAATCACCACTAGCATTGGCACACATCAACAAAGTAAGAGCCTGTCTTTCATAGGCTTATGTCCTGGGAGTGCCTTTTCCTCCTGAGTATATGTAGGTCCTGCTTGGCATTTTCTTCCAGAACAGGCCTGTTTCATCACAATTAAACACTTGTTCAGGTTCCAGTCCTTCAGTTTCTATGTACTCCTTGAATTCCTGCACATATTTTTCAGCCGCTTTGTGGTCCGAACTGGCAGCCTCACATGCCGTATCACACTATGGATGCCACTAGGCTTCTTAAATCTCTCAAACCAACCTTTGCTGGCCTTAAATTCACTCACATCATCACTAGTTGCAGGCATTTTTTTAATTAAATCGTCATGCAACTTCCTAGCCTTTTACATATGATCGCTTGAGAGACGCTATCTCCTGCTAGCTGTTTTTTCATTTATCCACACCAATAAAGAGTCTCTCAACATCTTCCATCACTTGCGATCTTTGTTTCGAAAACACAGTTAAACCTTTGGCAACAACAGCTTCCTTGATTGCCGTTTTTCTTGCCCACAATAGAAGCGATGGTTGATTTTGGTTTCTTGTACAACCTGACCAGGTCGGTGATACGTACTCCACTTTCATACTTATCCATGATCTCTTTCTTCATTTCAATGGGTATTCTTACCTTTGAGGTGTAGGGTTGGCACTAGAAGCTTTCTTGGGGCCCATGGTCACTTATTTTCCACAAACAGCACCGAAAACACTGTAATAATACGAAATATTCCGAGTGTATGCTTGAATGTTACCGCGGAGGCTGGCTGGTAAACAATGGGACGGGCGGCACATGTGAGGCTGGCTGAGGGCGCAGATTGGACGCGTCTCGGACGAAGTTCGCTGAGCGGGTTTTTGTCCACTATGCGGGGCAAAATTTTAGCGAACAAAGCGTTCGCTATGCGGATTGTTCGCTATGCAAGGCGTTCGCTATGCGGGGGTCCACTGTATAATGTATATTACCTTTTCATTTAATTTTATATTGCTTATATTTGCGATAATAGCTAAATCGTAAATGTATGACTTTATATTATTATTTGACTGTTATATTGTCATTTGACTTACGTTGTTAGGATGTACATAATATGTGCTCAGTTCAAGTCTTGATTGTCAAACTACTGTAATTATCGCTTGTCGCTCGTTATACTGCCGGCTTCTGAGCTGTGCTGTCCACGGCGCTGTCACGTGATCGAGGGGGGGTGTCCTCACCTCTCGTGAATATTCAGTCGGCTCTAGACTCGCTTGGTGGTTGGACAGATTGTCTGTCTCATTATTCTTGTTAGTTCTGTAGAACTCTGTTCACAGAACATTGTATAGACTTAGTGATTTTCGACGTTGTACTGAGGTTGTGTGTCACATAGACACTCTGAGCATCTCAGGTCCCGAGCTATAGCTTCTGACCTAATTTTGTACTGGTTTCTGTGTATTGTCACTGTCAGGGTTTTTCCTATGCTGAACTTAGATTCAGTAGTATGGGAGTTTTGTAACTTTTGTGGAGGATCTGCTGATGGTCCCTACTTAGTGTCGTTATATTATCTCCTTGATCCTGATTGTGTCGCAGTCGCTTGTTATATGGCTATTGGGCTAGCATTTTTCATTGTTCAAGCAGACTGTTCTGGTTGCCAGTCGGTCAAGAAGTAGTTTATGTGAGGACTTTGTCAGTCACTGTTTTAAGTCTAGTCGAGTCGTGAGACATAGTGAACTACTTAGAGCACTTACAACGCATACACAAACTTACTTGTACATATTTGTAATATCTTATTAAATGTTAATGTACCGAATGGTACTTAACCCTTTCAGGGTCCAAGGCCCAAATCTGGAGTCACGCACCAGTGTCCAAGAATTTAAAAAAAAAAAATTTGTTATTTTTTCTTATGAAATCGTAGAGAATCTTTTTGTGAAGGTAATAAAACAAAAAGTACGAAATTTGGTGGAAAATTGACGAAATTATGCTCTCGCGAATTTTGATGTGTCAGCGATATTTACGAATCGGCGATTTTGCCGACTTTGACTCCCATTTTAGGCCAATTACATTATTCCAATCAACCAAATTCTTAGCTATTTCACTAGTATTACTTCTATTCTATCGATTGAGCACAAGAAATCACCAACTCAACTGTTTTAACTACAAAATAAAGTGATCGGAAATTGTTAATTTGGCCAATTTAACACAAAGTTCAAAATATTCCAATTTCAAAATAGGCTCCAGAATAAACAATGTAGGTATTCCTGGAACTAAACTAACATTTCCTCTGTTCATTAGTTACATTTTGAGCTTTACAAATAAATTCCATTTTGATTTTTATTCACATAATGAATTTTTATTCACACCAAAAAAAATAGAAGATTTACTGTATACATACTGTAATAATTGTATAAATATCATCACCATATTTGTGAATGTATATTAGACCCACCAGCTGGCGTGTATTAGATGTGTGAGGTCGTTTGTTTACTCTTGAATATCAGCAAAAATTTAACATTTCCGCTACTTGAGCTCAGTTTCAAGCCATTTCCAGTGCTAAAACCAATCAAAATCATCTCTATTTCTGTAATATGTCTTCCATTCTATCAAATGAGACCAAGAAATCGCAAATACAGCTATAAAAAACATACGAAAAAACACTGCAAAGTCGCTGTTTTAATCGAAAAATCATGATTTCAGTTTTTTTCTCTCATTATACACAGTGTGCTGCAGGATCTGTTTTATGTGGTGCACACATACCACATAGATGTATTCTCTCATATCTAGGCCCAAATGTACCACTCACAGTTTATCAGAGTGAGCTGAGCTCATGGTGTAGTTCTACGGTTTGGACACTCACCGTAAAGCCGTATATCTATGGGACGGACCCTGAAAGGGTTAAGAATTATAAACGTGATATGTGCTTTCAGCACAATAATATTGAACTCGAGAGATTGATTTTATTTTGATTGCTGTGATTAATTTAATTTGATAATATACCTCTAGACAACTTAATGATTAATAAATTTATTAAATTTTAATTTCTCTAGTTAGTAGCCTACCAGTTGTAATCTTGAAGCACTATTGAATAATACTGATTTTTAATGGATAATTGGACAAGGATACTGACTACTTGTTACGAAAACCCAGTAACAGGCTGGATGCTAGAAGGGCAGTCCTTTCTAGTATTCACTGGAGATCTCTAAGCTTTTAGAATCGCGTTTTTTGTAACACCCATGGTGGCTTATTTAGCCATTACAAGCACTAAAGACACTGGAATAATGTAAAATATATTGCAAGTTTACTTGGAATCGACTGAAACGGCTTGTAAACACTGGCACACTGGCTGTACATGGAGTCTGAGAGTGGCTGGGCCCGCTCAGGCCACGCTCTGGCCCCATGGACAAGTTCGGGATGAACGTCATTAGATGAGTTTTTCGCGGTTGGTAGAGCCATTTTGTTTACGTCAAAGAGCGCCGTTAGACGAATTTGCTGTTACTTGATGCCGCCGTTAGTTGAGGGTCCTCTGTACAGTGGACCCCCGGCTTACGATATTATTTCATTCCAGAAGTATGTTCAGGTGCCATTACTGAACGAATTTGTTCCCATAAGGAATATTGTGAATTAGATTAGTCCATTTCAGACCCCCAAACATACACGTACAAACACACTTACATAAATACACTTACATAATTGGTCGCATTGGGAGCTGATCATAAAGCGGGGGTCCACTGTAATTTGAATTTGTGATAGTTCTAATAAGTGCCTTTTGTTGTGATAATTGATTTTCAGTGGAAAGCTAAGGGTGATCCCCAGGCACAAATTCCCTAATTGAAGTACAGTGGAACCTCGGTTTTCATTTGCCCTGGTTTTCGTCGAATCCGGTTTTCGATTACTTTTTTTTTTTTGGTCAAAATTTTGTCCCAGTTTTTGTTCATCACCTCAGTTTTCATCGAGTTGACAGTGGTTCGCCATACCAAATGTGTCCGCCCATGCCCACACAAAGCATCCCACGCGTTCTGAATCAGTCTGGCTTTTTTTCTCGTCAGTACAGGGTGGTACTGATGGTGGTAGAGGGTGGTAGTGATGGCAGTAGAGGGTGATAGTGATGGTGGTGTAGGGTGCATGTGATGGTGGTAGAGGGTGGTAGTGATGGTGGTAGAGGATGGTAGTGTTGGTGGTAGAGGGTAGTAGAGATGGTGGTAGAGGGTGGTAGTAATGGTGGTAGAGGGTGATAGTGATGGTGGTAGAGATAACCTCTCCTCCCTCTCCCCTCCTTGCCGTCTTCCATATGCCAACAAGAGTCTTCAATAAGGGTACAAGTGATGTTAAATGTTCATTTATCCATTTTATTAGTCCTTTATATTTATTTCTCATTGTTTTCTGTATGTAAAACTATAGTTATTCTCTATAAAATGTATTTTTTTTAATACTTTTGGGTGTCTGGACCAGATTAATTATATTTACGTTATTTCTTATAGGAAATATTGCTTCAGTTTTCATCATATTTGGTTTTGATCAGACTTTCTGGAACGAATTAATGATAAAATCCAAGGTTCCACTGTATAGGTAAATGAGAGAGAAGAAGAGTGAATTTTGGAGAATATACCTGCAATTTTTTCTAGGACATTTCTTTGGCCGAAATAATCACCTGTTGTTCATACAAATAATCATATATGTCGATGATCACATATGCTTGCAGGACACTAAAGAAGTGAGTGGCTCTGTTGAGGATGTCAGCCTTAGCAGTGGCAGTAATGGCGAGGACAGAATTAATAGTCACGATAGTTGTGATGACATCAGAAGTGGACGCTTGGACAAACAGGAGGACCTGTGCAAGGATCTGACCGAGCCCACTGACTTAAGTCGCCTGAGTGAGGTTACCTTGGATGACAACATTAAAGTTGAAGGGGATGTAGATGCAGTGGAGAAGGAACTGAAGATAACTGCAGAAGCAAAGAAACAGCAAGGAGAAGGGAAGAAGGCATCTGTGAGTTTAAATCTGAAAAAGTCTCCCTCACCTTCAGGAGCTGTACACACTCCCTCCAGACCCTCTTCACGTAAGTTGCTTCACTTTACAGCATTTCGCTAATACAGCGATTTTCAGTTATACCCATTTTTCATTTATTCAGACTTCTTACAGTAAATATATTCACCACTCATTAGAAGCTACACACATTACTTATTTAAGGTAAGTATTGTATGTACTGTATATGCATTTTTTAGGCCTACCTCTATTGCTCACTTAATATATGGGAGTATAAACTTATCAGGCTTTTATATGCATTTGAATGTGAAAAAAGGCTATGATTCACTTTACAGCAATTTTCATGTTACAGCAGTAACCTGGAACCTAACCTTCTGTATAAGCGGGAACCTCCCATAAGAAGTATAATTTTAATTTTGGATTCCATCAAAAGTGGTACAAAAAATTATGAAGTTAGTTCTAGAGACAGTTTCTTCTTGTTTGGAAGAAATATTGTGATTATGGTACACAAGAGAGGAAGTTCAGGTGCCATTTGCCTCTTAGTTTGTAATTTAGAATCTGTGCAGGAGGAAAGAGGATTTTTTATGATTATGACTTCTTGTTTAGGAGCAAGGGACCATAACCCCTTCTTCTGTATAAATTACTAAATTTAGAAAGAAAGATTTCAATTTTTCTTTTTAGATCACCCTGCCTTAGTGGGATATGGCCAGTTTATTGAAATTAAAAACTTCCTGTTTAACCCTTTTACTGTCCAGACCCCTGCTCACAAACTTGCTCTCAGTGACGGACCCGCCCCCCCCTGGCAAAAAAAAAAAAAAATTCTTATGAAATGACAGAGAATCTTTTCCCGATGGTAATGGCACCAAAAGTACGAAATTTGATGGAAAACTCACGGAATTACACTCTCATAAAGTTAGGGGTCTCAGCGAAATACACACATTTGTAATTTTGCTCAATTTGAGCCCTGTTTTTGGCCAGTTCCATTGTTCCAGTCAACCAAACTCATAGCTATTTTGCTAGAACTCCATTTGTTCCATCGATTGAATATAAGAAACCACCCATTTACCAATTTCAACTACCCAGTAAAGTGGTCAGAAATTGGCAATTTGGCCAGCTTCACACAAATTTGAATGCAGACATTCCTGGCACTAAAATAACATTTTCTCTGTTCGTTTAATACGGCACCAACACTGGCTCATAAGCCGTACTAATATGACACCGACAGTAAAAGGGTTAAAGTATAAATTGGAAGATAGGATTATAATGTCCTGTTAATTCTAATGTTTGTATTTTACAAGCTTTGCTAATTATATCTATCATTTTTACTTCATAAAAATTTTATTTTTGTATAAAGCATTGTTTTATTTTCTCAACAGTTTTAACACCAACAGCTCCTCCGCCAACAGCAAAAATTGTAGAAATAGCAACAAAAGTTATTGAATTTGTTTGTTCAGAAGAAACCATAAATATTGAAGCAATGCGAAAAGCCTTCTTCACACAGGTTGGTTAAAAATGTGTGTGATGCCTAGTCAGATATTTTGCTGTTTTACTCTTGAAGTTATAGAAGGATCATTATTTTTATGTTTCCTAAGTTTTGATTATTCACTCTTCAGATGGACAGAGCTGAGATGAGACTGCGTGGTATTGAGATGTTTCTCAGCTTAGTTCAAAAGAGCAACTTCTTGCCCTCTGTTAGGCTTACACTCATCAATGGATGGCTTGGCCTCTTACCATTTGCTCCCAAAAATACGTAAGTAATATTTATAGATTCTGAAATATTTCTTTTTATTTAACACACTGGCTGTCTCCTACCGAGGCAGGGTGACCCAAAAAGCGAAACGCCATCATCATTCACATTATTACTGTCTTGCCAGAGGTGCACAGACACAACAGTTCAAATGTCTTTCCAAACTGTAGATATCCAAAACCCCTCCTTTAGAGTGCAGGTATTGTACTTCCCACCTCCAGAACTCTGGTCCAGCTAACTGGTTTTCCTGAATCCCTTCACACTACATCAGCTCGTCAGTTCCCCCCCAAAATTTGTCTCCACTCACTCCTCTCTAACATGCTCACACATGCCTGCTGTATGTCCAAGCCCCTTGCACATAAAACCTATTTTACCCCCTCCATCCTTTCCTAAGATGACCCCTACCCTGCCTTTCCTCCTCTACAGATTTATACATCCTCCAAGCCATCCTATTTTGCTCCCTCCTCTCCAGATGACCAAACCACCTCAACAACCCTTCCTCAGCTCTCTGAATAATACTTTTAGTAAATCTGCACCTCCTCCTAATCTCCAAACTACAAATTATGTACATAACATTTACACCACATACTGCCCTCAGACATAACATCTCTACTGCCTCCGACCTCCTTCTCACTGTAACATTTACAACCCATTGTTTCACACCCATATAAGAATGTTGGTACCACTGTACACTCATGCACTCCCCTCTTTGCCTCCATGAATAATGTTCTTTGTCTCAACAGATATCTCACTGCACCACCCACCTTTTTTTTCTCCATCAATTTTAAGGTTTACCTCATCTTATTTTTTATTTATCATGATTATAATAACAATGTATTCTTTCTTTTGTGGTATAATTTTTTCCTAGTGTTGGAAGATTGCAAGTGTTAATTATTTGTATTATTGCCAACAGCCTGGTTCTACCTGATTGCCTGGAGAACATTCCTTTAGTTCCTGTTTACCAGCGGGCTGTTCTAAAGGCATCGTGGGCCAAAGTCTGGGAATGGGCTGTTGGTGAGCTACGGGCCCATGTGCTGAAGGCTGAGCAGTTCTGTGTTGCTGCCCATTCATCTGGGAGGTTGCTGAAAGGCCGAGACAATCCTACATATAAAGACTCTAATATCAGTTGTCGTGATCATAACATCTTAGCTTCCATGCCACTTTCCAGGTATGTCCCATAGTTTGTATATGTAGTGTGTGATAATTATAATATATACTGTAAAAAGAGAGCAAATGAGAGAGTGGGTGAGATGTTATCAACAAATTTTGTTGAAAATAAGAAAAAGTTTTGGAGTGAGATTAGTAAGTTGAGAAAGTCTAGGGAACAAATGGATTTGTTAGTTAAAAATAAGAGAGGAGAGTTATTAAACAGAGAGTTAGAGGTGCAGTGGTAACTCAGGTTTCGAACAGCTCCCAACTTGAACAATTATGTAAGTGTATTTTTGTAAGTGCTTTTGTAAGTGTATTTTTGATGATCTGAAACGGACTAATCTAATTTGCATTATTTCTTATGGGAACAAATTCATTCGGTAACGGCACTCGAACAGCCTTCTGGAACGAATTATGGCTGAAATTCGAGGTACCACTGTATTGGGAAGATGGAGCGAATATTTTGAGGAATTGTTTAATGTTGATGAAGATAGGAGGAATAATATCTTGTAGGAGTGAGAAAGAACCAGTTGTAAGTGTGGGGAAAGGACATGGGGCAGTGGATAGACTGAAAGGGGGTAAAGCAGCTGGGATTGATGGGATAAAGATAGAAATGTTAAAAGCAGTTGGGGATATAGTTTTGGAGTGGTTAGTGCTTTTATTTAATAAATGTATGGAAGAGGGTAAGGTAACTAGGGATTGGCAGAGAGCATGCATAGTTCCTTTGCATAAAGGCAAAGGGGACAAAAGAGAGTGTAAAAATTATAGAGAAATAAGTCTGTTGAGTATACCTGGTAAAGTGTATGGTAGAGTTATTATTGAAAGAATTAAGAGTAAGATGGAGAGCAGGATAGCAGATGAACAAAGAGGCTTTAAGAAGTGTAGGAGGTGTGTAGACCAAGTGCTTGCAGTGAAACATATAGGTGAACAGTATTTAGATAAGGGTAAAGAGGTTTTTGTGGCATTTAAGGATTTGGAAAAGGCATATGATAGGGTGACAGTGTGGCAGATGTTGCAAATGTATGGAATAGGAAGTAGGTTATTGAATGCAGTGAAGAGTCTTTATGAGGATAGTGAGGCTCAGGTTAGAGTATGCAGGTGAGAGGGAGATTATTTCCCAGTAAAAGTAGGCCTTAGGCAGCGATATGTGATGTCAACATGGTTGTTCAGTGTATTTATAGATGGAGTTGTAGGAGAAGTGAATGCTTGGGGTTGAAAGATAAATAATCTAACACAAAGTGAGAGTTGTCACAGTTGCTCTTTGCTGATGACACTGTGCTTTTTGGGAGATTCTGAAGAGAAGTTGCAGAGATTGGTGGATGAGTTTGGTAGGGTATGTAAAGGAAGGAAATTAAAATTGAATGTAGGAAAGAGTAAGGTGATGAGGATAACCAAAAATTTAGGTAACGGAAGATTAGATATCAGATTGGAGGGAGAGAGTATGGAGGAGATGAATGTATTCAGCTATTTGGGAGTGGACATGTCAGCAAATGGGCTTATGAAAGATGAGGTGAGTCATAGAATCGATGAGTGGTGCACTGAGGAGTCTTTGGAGACAAAGAACTTTATCCATGACAGCAGAAGGGAATGTATGAGAGTATAGATATACCAATGCTCTTGTATGGGTGTGAGGCATAGGTGGTGAATGTTGCAACAGGGAGAATGCTGGAGGCAGTGGAGATGTCGTGTCTGAGGGCAGTGTGTGGTGTGAAAATAATGCAGAGAATCCGTAGTTTGGAGATAAGGAGGAGGTACGGGATTACCAAAACAATTATCCAAAGGGCTAAAGAGGGGTTATTGAGATGGTTTGGACATGTAGAGAGGATGGAACAAAATAGAATGACTTCGAATCTGTAGTGGAGGGAAGGCGGGGTAGGGGTCGGCCTAGGAAGGGTTGGATGAAGGGGGTAAAGGAGTTTTTTTGTTCAAGGGGCTTGGACTTCCATCAAGCATGCATGAGCGTCTTAGTTAGGAGCAAATGGAGACAAATATTTTTTAGGACTTGATGTGTTGTTGGAGTGTAAGCAAGTTTACATTTATGAAGGGATTCGGGGAAACCGGCAGGCCATACTTTTTTTTTTTTTTCAATTCAAAGTTTATTCTCTATAAGGATTACAATGCTGAGTTTACAGAATTTGGTTATTGTGTGGTTTACATGTAGTAAAATAATAATTACAGAGTGTACCACTAGAACACCTAGCATGGCTAGGCATTTCGGGCAGACTTAGATTAAATCTTAAGTTTAAAATATTAAAAAATTATGCGTTAAGTTGGTATTATGGCTAAATGACTAAATAGTAGTTTGTGAGTTTAGCAATGTGAATGCTTTTTTTTTGGCACTATACATAGTTTCAGTATTGGAGTATCACAGGCCAACTTATGACTAGTTAAGATTCTTTATTTTGAGATTGAGATTGATATTTCTGTTTATGGTCAAATGGGTGAGTGAGTGTAAGTGTTAACCACCAGGTGGTATTCGTGTAAATAGTTGACAGGGTGTATCAGGGAGATAAGATGTTTTCTGATGGTAGTTTTGAAGGTGATGAATGTGTCTGCAGTTTTAGAATTTTCAGGTAGGGTGCTCCAGATTTTAGGGCCTTTGACATACATTGAATTTTTGTAAAGGTTTAGTCGGACACGGGGAATGTCATAGAGATGTTTGTGTCTGGTGTTGTGCCTGTGGGTTCTGTCACAACTATCAAGAAAGCATTTTAGGTCAAGGTTAATATTGGAATTTAAGGTCCTGTAGATGTAGATTGCACAGTAGTAAGTGTGGATGTGCTGAACAGGGAGTAAGTTTAGATCTATGAAGAGTGGGGGGGTGCATTGCCAGGGATGGGATTTAGTGATTATTCTTACTGCGGCTTTTTGTTGGGTTATTATTGGCTTTAGGTGTGTTGCTGCAGTTGATCCCCAAGCACAGATAGCATAGGTGAGGTATGGATATATAAGTGAATGGTACAGTGTGAGAAGGGCAGTTTGCGGGACGTAGTATCGTATCTTGGAGAGGATCCCAACCGTTTTGGATACTTTTTTGGTTGTGTGTTGGATATAGGTGCTGAAGTTCAGGTTGTTGTCAAGGTATAGGCCTAGGAATTTGCCCTCATTATGCCTGGCAGTTAGAGTGTTGTCGATCTTAATGTTAATTTGCGCATCTCCTGCTCTGCTACCAAACATAATGTAGTAGGTTTTGTCAGTGTTAAGCGTAAGTTTATTGATTCCTGGAGATGGGAAGTACAGTACCGGCACTCTGAAGGAGGGGTGTTAGTGTTGCAGTTTTATAACTGTAGTGTAAGCATGCCTCTGGCAAGACAGTGATGGAGTGAATGATGAAAGTTTTTCTTTTTTGGGCCACCCTGTCTTGGTGGGAAATAGCCAATGTGTGATATCTCACAAAATTGTCATTAAAGTATCCAAGAGTTTTTGAAAGTTTTTAATGTACTGAGGAATTTACAATGTATGAACAGAAGCAACTTTGAAGTGTATTTGAATCAAAACTGTGGTAGTGATTACCAAATACCACAACTGCATTATAACCCACTGGCCAGACCAGCCACTATGGGTTCCAGTTTTAACTTTAACTTTTTCAGGAAATTTTATTTTTTTGGTTGAATAATCCTTAGAATCTTACCTAGATTGATGGCTTGTATGACAGGCTAGTAATTTCAGACTGCCGGACTGCTGGTTTGAATTCCATTCATCTTTTAGGAATTTTCTAAAATACCACAAAGTTTGTATTGTATGTAATTAATGTTTTGGCTAATAAAAGTTAGGTAAAAGGACACATATGCAACTAATGCAGGTGCCCTTTTACCTAACATATTGCTAGTAATTCTACCAACATTATTTAAATTTGCTGGACACTAATGAAAGTTGTATGCAGATTCATTTTAGGTTTGGTGTGTTTATCAACAAGAGCTCATTGTGGTGCTGACCTAAGTCTCCTTATATCAGGTGGTCTACTGGCTCTAATGCAGACACTTCTAAGGCTTATTGGTAAGAGAAATTCATTTTTTTTTGCCCTTTTGTCACATTTTTAACCCTTTACAGGGTATGCCAATATATTTAGTGGCCTGCCTGAGGAGGCCAGTAAATATAGTGGCCTGCCTGGGAAATGGTTAAAATCAGAATCTAAACTTCTTGAATATTAATAAAAAATTAGCATGGTCTGATTTATTGTTTTGTATATAGGAGTAGCTTCAAGGTTACTACCAGAGCAGTTCCATTTCATGAGCAGTGCCTGCATACATTTTTTTTTTTAATATTTGTTCCGTTATACATCGTCTTATTCCTTCTAAGCAGGATGGTGTGCAGAATATTTAATTGTCTCATGTTACCTGTTATTCAAGACCATGAATTCTCTCAAGGGAGGTTCCTTGATACTGGTCAGGGGCTCTTGATCTAAGGAATTGTGCTCATGACTTACGAAATCATAATAACACAATTGCACATAAATCATAGAATAGGTGTGGGATTCATCTGTAAAAATCTGTATGTGTGGTCACAGTGGGGCCCCTGCTAACCTCTCTATAGTATAGTAATATACCTGGTTGGATGACTCTTACTAGAGGCAGCTGGCCCAGTGGTTAATGCACTGGCTGTGAGTTTTAGGACTCACTGGTTTGAGCCTTGCACAGTCTGTGATTTGAATTGTGTTCCATTGCCTTGAATTGAGCCTGAATACCTTCCATTATTCCTAGGAGGTATATGGTTCCTATGGATTTAGTGTTCTCTCACAAATGTAAAAATGTCAAGACTGTGGAGAAGGGAAGCTCTTCATTATCTGCTAGGGTAGAACAATTCTCACAACTAGTCACAAGTTATGTCGCACATTGCTGAATGTATAATAAAATTCCTCAGTGTATTCAGGAAAACCCTGCATTTTGATTGAAGAATCAAATCTTTTTTTTTTTTTTTTTTTTTTTTTTTTTTACATTGGCCATCACACCAAAGAAGGGTGACCCGACAAAGAAGAAAACACTCACTCACTCTCACTCATTCAAGTATATCTTGCCAGAAGCTTGCTGACATTATAGTTCTGATGACCCTGCAAACTGCATCATCTGTACTCCTCCTTCAGAGTGTAGGCACTGTACTTCCCATCTCCAGGACTCAAGTCTGGCTAACCAATTTCCCTGAATCCTTTCATAAATGTTACCTTGCTCACACTGCAACAGCACATCAAATAATAAAAAACACTTGCCTCCACTCTTATCTAACATGCTTACACAAGCCTGTTTGATGTCCAAGCCTCCTAGGACTAAAAACCTCCTTTACCCTCTCCTTCCAACCTTTCCTAGGACAACCCCCTACCCCGCCTTTCTTCCAACCCCATATTTATTCACCTTCCTGATATCATATTTTCCCCATCCTTTATAAATGTTCAGACCACCTCAACAATTCTTCCTCAGCCTTCTGAATAATATTTTTCGTAACTCCACACTTCCTTCTACTCTCCAAACTTTAAATTCTCTTCATATTATTCTTAATGTTCTCCTGTATATATTACTAAATTTAAAAGGAGAAACTCGGTTTTTCTATCAGGCCACTCTGCCTCAGTGGGATACAGCTAGTTTGTTGAAAGAAGAACATCATTGCTCTCATACCCTACATTTCAGTTGCCTCCAGCAACATTTCCAACCCATTCTTCAGTCCCATACAGCAGTGCAGGTACCACTATTCCCTGGGATATTTCCGCATTTTGCCTCCATGGATGAAATTCTTTAATTCATCTCTCGAGGAACCAATCCACTGACAGATCCACTCCCAAATATCTGAACTCATTGATTCCCTCAAGTCTGATATCATGATTCCCTCAAGTCTGATATCCAATCTCTCATTGCCTGTATTTTTTTATTCTCTCATCACCTTGCTCTTTTCTATGTTCACTTTAAATTTTATTCTTTTACATGCCCTCCCAAGTTTGTTTACTAATCTTTGCAATTTTTCTCAGAAATTTTTTTATTTTAAAACTGGTTTAAAGAAGAAAAGAGATGGGGAAAATCTCAGACAAAGATATTCCTTCAGTATTCTTGAGTGTTCTAAAGTTGTAGCAGTATATGAAATTGTTGTTGGGTTAAAGCTTTGATGTGCGTTAATTATTCTTGGGGAATAACTTGCTAAGCAGATTTCCGATATTACCCTAACTCTGATAGATTTCGAAAAAGCCATTGACAACATACCCATGCACTCAGCCCGGGCCCAGACTTATGGAACTCTGTTTTCATTAAGAACTGCAAGAAACCCCTCTCGCGTGCCCTAAGTACACTATGGAGGAGGAGCTTGGACATGGGTGAAATTCCTCAGTCACTTAAAACAACGGATATAGCCCCACTCCATAAAGGTGGCAGCAAAGCATTAGCTAAGAACTATAGACCAATAGCTCTGATGTCCCACATCATAAAAATCTTAGAAAGAGTGCTAAGAAGCAGGATTGCAAATCACCTGGATTCCCAAAATCTGCACAATCCAGAGCAACATGGGTTCAGGGCAGGTCGCTCCTGCCTCTCACAACTACTGGATCACTATGACATGGCCTTGGATGCACTGGAAGAAAATCAGAATGCAGATGTAATATACACAGACTTTGCAAAAGCATTTGACAAATGCGATCATGGCGTAATAGCCCATAAAATACGTGCTAAAGGAATAACTGGGAAAGTGGGGAAATGGATCTTCAACTTCCTAACAAATCGAACACAAAGAGTAGTGGTCAACAGAGTTAAATCGGACGCTGCCATAGTGAAGAGCTCTGTTCCACAAGGCACAGTACTTGCCCCCATCTTATTCCTTATCCTCATATCAGACATAGAGATATACATCACAGCACTGTATCATCCTTTGCGGATGATACTAGGATCTGCATGAGGCTGTCATCTGCTGAGGTCGTGGTTAACCTCCAAGAAGATATAAACAAAGTTTTCCAGTGGGCAACGGTAAACAATAGGATGTTCAATGAGGACAAATTCCAACTACTCCGTTATGGAAAACTGGAGGAGATAATAACTAGAACAGAGTACAGTGGACCCCCGCATACCGTTGGCCTTACATAACGTTAAATCCGCATACCACTACATTTTATCGCTAAGATTTTGCCTCGCATACTGCTAAAAAACCCGCTCAATGCTGTTCGTCCGAGACGCGTCTATGTGCGGCCTGAGCCACCCTCACATGTTCCGCCGGTGGCATTGTTTACCAGCCAGCCTCCGCGGTAACATCCAAGCATACAATTGGAACATTTCATATTATTACAGTGTTTTTGGTGATTTTATCTGCAAAATAAGTGACCATGAGCCCCAAGAAAGCTTCTAGTGCCAACCCTACAGCAATAAGGGTGAGAATTACTATAGAGATGAAGAAAAAGATCATTGATAAGTATGAAAGTGGAGTGCGTGTCTCCGTACAGCTGCTGCTGCTGCTGCTGTACCACCATCAGCTGCTGCTGCTGCTGCACTGTCAGCTGCTGCTGCTGCTGTAGCACCGTCAGCTGCTGCTGTACCACCGTCAGTTACTGCTGCTGCTGCTGTAGCACTGTCAGCTGCTGCTGCTGCTGCTGCTGCTGTAGCACTGTCAGCTGCTGCTGCTGCTGTGCGCACGTCAGCTGCTGCTGCTGCTGTACCACCGTCAGCTGCTGCTGCTTCGTAGCTGGTTTAGTACCGTCTGCTGCTGCTGTAGCATCGTCTGCTGCTGCTGTAGCACTGTCAGCTGCTGCTGTAGCACTGTCAGCTGCTGCTGCAGCACTGTCAGCTGCTGCTGCAGCACTGTCAGCTGCTGCTGCTGTTGTACCACCGTCAGCTGCTGCTGCTGCTGCTGTTGTACCACCGTCAGCTGCTGCTGCTGCTGCTGTAGTACCGTCTGCTGCTGCTGTAGCATCGTCTGCTGCTGCTGTAGCATCGTCTGCTGCTGCTGTAGCACTGTCAGCTGCTGCTGCTGCTATACCACCATCAGCTGCTGCTGCTGTAGTACCGTCTGCTGCTGCTGTAGCATCGTCTGCTGCTGCTGTAGCACTGTCAGCTGCTGCTGCTGCTGTAGCACTGTCAGCTGCTGCTGCTGCTGTACCACCGTCAGCTGCTGCTGCTGCTGTAGTACCGTCTGCTGCTGCTGTAGCATCGTCTGCTGCTGCTGTAGCACTGTCAGCTGCTGCTGCTGTAGCACCGTTGTTGGTGTGGCTTATTGAGAATACCAAGAAACAATTAACCCCAGAGGATTAGCCACCCAGGATAACCCAAAAAAGTCAGTGTCATCGAAGACTGTCTAACTTATTTCCATTGGGGTCCTTAATCTTGTCTCCCAGGATGCAACCTACACCAGTCCACTAACACCCAGATGAACAGGGAAAAATGCCTGGAACTAGTGCTCATATTGGTGAATTTAAAGCCATCAAAGGTTGGCTTGAGAGATTTAAGAATCGTAGTGGCATACACAGTGTGATAAGGCCTGTTCTGGAAGAAAATGCCAAACAGGACCTACAGTACTCAGGAGGAAAAGGCACTCCCAGGACACAGTGTCTCATCAGTCATTGCTGCATCTTCAATAAAGGTAAGTGTCATTTATTCTTTGTTTAGTAGAGTAGTACATGCACAATATATACTGTGCATGTACTACTCTACTACTGTGCATGTATCCTTCTCTTTGTGTGTAGGAAAATGTATATTTCATGTGGTAAAAATTTTTTTTTCATACTTTTGGGTGTCTTGCACGGATTAATTTGATTTCCATTATTTCTTATGGGGAAAATTCATTCGCATAACGATAATTTCGCATAACAGTGAGCTCTCATGCACGGATTAATATCGTTATGCGGGGGTCCACTGTATACTACAGTCTCTGGCCATACAATAGAGCGGAAAAATAATGTAAGGGACCTGGGAGTAGTAATGTCTGAGGATCTCACTTTCAAGGATCACAACAGTGCCACGATCGCACGGGCAAAGAAAATGATAGGATGGATAATGAGAACGTTCAAAACGAGAGATGCCAAGCCAGTGATGATCCTT